TTGCTGAGCCTGTCCAGGTCAGCCTGGATCACCCGCCTGTCTTCTGGTGTGAATGCTTTGCCCCAAAGTTTGGTGTCATCGGCGAACTTGGCCAGTCCGCTTCTGACTCCAGTGTCCACATCATTAATGAAGATGTTGAACAGTATGGGTCCAAGGACAGAGCCTTGGGGGACCCCACTGGTCACAGGGCACCATGATGATTGACTTCTGTCTATTACCACCCGCTGGGTCCAATCACGGAGCCAATTTCCCAGCCAGTGGATCATGGTGGACCCAAGGTCGCAGTTGGCCAGTTTTGCCAAGAGGTGATCGTGGGATACCAGATCAAAGGCTTTTTTGAAGTCAAGATACATGACATCAATCTCTTCTCCCTTATCCAGGTGATGGGTCACCTGGTCGTAGAAGGTAATGAGATTGGTCAAGCAAGACCTGCCAGCACGGGTTTGTTGCGGGTTATCCTTTAGGATGTTGGCATCAGCCAGTCCATTAAGGATGGCCTCTTTAATAAACTTTTCTAAGACCTTCCCCGGGATAGAAGTCAGGCTGATGGGCCTATAGTTAGCTGGATCCACTTTCCTCCCTTTCTTGAAGATAGGCACCACATTGGCCTTCTTCCAGTCATCAGGCACTACACCAGAGCACCAGAAAGCCTTGCTTGTAAAGCGTTAAAACAGAGTTAACATTTTTATATCACCAACCCAACAAACACTGTTCTGCATTGTTATGCTGGTCACAAGGATATAAGTACAGCCTGAACAAAATTAAAAAATCTCTAAAAGCTACCCTAACCTTGAGCTGACCCTAACATTTCAATACAGCAAAAGCCCTGTTATCTGGCACCTTACAAACCGGCATGCTCTATTAAACGGCATGCCAGTTGACACTGCAAAAGTGAAACTGCAAATGCCCACTGTGGCACTTCTGATTTTGTTGAGCCCCCACAGCCCGGGGCAAAGCAGCCTGTCCCCAGTGTGCCCGGGACCCCCCACCCTGTTCCCCAGCACACTGACGCGGCGGGAGGGGTGGTGGCCCAAACAGGCAAAAACACCTGTTCAGGCCTCTCAGGTAACTGGTATATTTGGTTATCTGGCACCCCCCATTCTCCATGGGTGCTGGATAATAAGGCTTTTGCTATATTGTGATGTCATACAATATATTCCATGCATAAAATTCTGGAACAAATTTATACACCTCCCTTTCCCTGCTCCAACCACCCCCCACCCCCAATCAATAATAATGGTTTCTGTCATAGGGAAAGCTTTCCCTTTTATTACTTTTAGTTGAATTTAGCTAGAAGATTCAGAGAATACTTTATTGGAAGATGAAAAAGTAGGAAATTAGGGGCGCACCGATAAAGATTTTCGTGGCTGATACCGATAGCCAGTGATTAACCAACCATATCGGCTGAAGCCGATCCAATAACCGATAACTTAGTAATAGTGCAAGGTATTTTAAACTCCTTAACTACATAAATAAACTTTTTTTTGTTTGTGTGTGCATGTTATGAATGCAAAACAAGCCTCCTCCTTGCTCCAGCTCCCGATGAGGAAGGTGGTGACCACCCTATTCTCGTGAATGTCTCCCCCTTGCCCGTGGCTCCTACCCGCAGCCTTACTTCCCACGCACCCCATGCTGCTGTCCTGGGTGGGCAGGGTGGATCCTTGTGTGGGCAGCAGCGCTGGGTGCATTTAAAGCCCCAGAGCATGCTATCTCAGCGCTGGTGGACCCCGTGCAGCCGAGGTCCCATGGCTCCCGGGTAGAAGCCTCATTTGCAAAGCCACCCAGCAGAGGGAATGTTCCTTACGCAGCACCTTACCCTGGACTACCCTGCCAGGGTGCTCCAAGCACATGCCCGTATTTATTGGCTGCAACGATCAAACAAAGCCGATGATGTCATTTTTCCTTTTATCAGTGATAGCCAACCGATATATCGGTGCACCCCTACAGGAGAGCATGTTTTCTTCCTTGACATGAATAAAATGCAGTAAAAAGGATGAGATCCACTTGAAGGACATGGGCAAGACTTTCAAAAGGTATTTTGGCTCAAAAAATGCAGATAAGTTAGGTTCCCGATTCTAATTACTGTCAATAAGATTCAGCAGCTAACTTATTTAGAATCCCAGTACATGACCTTCTGAATCTTTAAAATGCTAGTATTATTAGTAACCATCTTCACATATCCCTCCATTCACTAACTATAGCTAATTACATGTTAGTTTTAAATGCACTTTTTAAAAATAATTATTTCCTTATGCATTTTTGTGCATTTTTTAAAGTAAATTCCAACTCTGATCAAGTACAGCTTTACCTAAACCAGAAAAAAAATGCATCATTCTCCATTTTCTAACATAATAAAAATGGAAAATAATCAAAATATATGTTGAGCTATTTGTTCAAAAAAGTATTTATAGTACTTCCTTCTGATGAGTAAAATTGTGACAAATTTACCCTGAAGGCTGAATCTGATTGCAAATCAACATGTTTTATAATTGCAATATAAAACAATAGAAACAATATTTTTCTTTAAGAAATGTTTTTTCTTAAAAAAAGAGAGTCAAAATAAGTTTCAAATAGAATATTTAAAATCAATAGTTTCATGCTTCCCAACTTGAACCCCAATTAAAATTAGTGATATAAATCCCTTTGATTTAAATCAATCCTCCCTACTAACGGATCAAACATTTCTAATCCAGTTATCGGCGTGGGAATTCCATGTCTCTCACCTGCATATGAAATACTAAGGAGCTTGCTGCGTTCCAGTGGAGGAGCCCAAGATGACCACATGGCATGCATAGCGGGGAATGTAACTCCCTATAAAACAAATATTTTATTCCATTAAATTCCACAGCAATTCTAAATTTTTTTTCTAACCTGTGTGTAACAAAACAGCAAGGCGACCTATTAAATCAGTTGCATTTAACAAAAAGCTCTTTGACACAAATGTGCATAGTACATGGGCAATTAAACAGAATTAGCTTTCTGGCTTATTTTCAACTCTGTAGTTGAATGAGTCTTGACTGTTTTTGCTAACTAGGGGAAGAGCACCCAGTACTGTGCTACTCTAATTTGGATTAAGTGTTAATACAAGACATTTTCAGGTAAGGAGTTCCATTCCTCACCCTAAGTATTAAAAGGCCAAACCAAAAGCAAAACAAAAACCCTCAACCTTGAGGTTGAGCACCAAAACCAGAAGTTAAATTAAGCAGCTAATACTGCCCTGGAGACCAACCAACCTGATAGAAGTCTGCAGAAGTCTTTTTTTTTTTTTTTTTTTTAGTTACCTCTGACAATGACCTCATAGACCACAGTTACCATTGAGGGTAACACTGATAATTTCTTAAATATATTTCCACATTTTAGGGGAAAAAAAATGAAGAGAGAATGAGATTACCTCTCCCAGCCCTTCCAAGGCTCTGACTGCTATGAGGTATCCAACTCCCAAATCTGCTGCTAAGGGGGTGAACAAGGTGAACAGAGAGGTACCAAAGATACCAAACCCCAGCAAAAACTTCCCTCCAATTTTGCTTGCAAGATATCCACCTGGAATCTGAGTAACGATGTAGCCGTAGAAAAAGGAACCAAGGATCCATCCTTGAGTATCTGAATCCCAAGAATATTTTTTTCCCTAAATGAAGGGGAAAAAAGTGTATGAACTAGCAACTTCATCAAATTATTCTATTTTACATAAATAATGTAATTAAACCTTGGTATTCTGAGGTTCTCAATGAATTTTCACTGCCTCATCCTACTCCAGAATCAAATGTGTGATTACAGCTTTCATAGACTTACTAGAGCTAACCTGTCATACAAGATCCACCCAGGATCTCAGGCATCTAAGCACAAGCTAAACTCCTTGCTGCTGCACTCACTCTGATCTCAGTACTGAGGCTAGTGAAACCTACTTCTGGTATGTCTACACATACTGTGTTTGTACAGACAGAGTAGCAAGAAGGAGGATTTACTTTTACAAGAGAAGATGGGAAAACAGAATGATAAAAGCAATGGAGGCAGGCCAAAGAGTCCAGAGATGACAAAACCACTGACAGCTACTGAAATGAACACAGAGGTAGTGATTTTGGAGACAGAGAGAGAGAAATCTGGGATCACCATTAATTATTTATGAGCATCTAAATGTATGGCAGGAAATTCAGCACAATGAGAACGTCCACATTTGTGTAAGGAAAAACCTAATTCTAAATTCAGGCATGATGCAGCAAGTGAGTCCAGTATGAAAGCTACTGAAAAATGAAACAGCATGCAAATTATGATAAGAAATAGTAACAATCAGAAAATCTTCATAAGTCCTTGAAGTATTTATTTTTTAAATCAACCGTATGATTTCTCACGCAACGTGAGAGTTTCTAGGGAGAGCCTAAATAAAATGAGCAAGCTTAGGAAACGGGTGTTACAGGCACAAGGAAAGAACAGAAATATGAATACTGAGGCAGGAAAAAAAATTGAAGGAAACAGGTTAATTCTTTAACAACACATTAGAGCAGGCAATTTCAAAGGTTAATGGGAAGGGAAGAAGAGGATGAATAAAAGAAGAACCGGTATTAGGAGAAAAAGATCACAAGATGACTAGTAGCTAAAAACGTAATGAAATATTCCTTTAATTGAAATAAAATTTACACACAAGTCAAAACTATGTGAAAAACAGACAGTTTAATTGGTGAAAATGCTGTTTTTAATCGCTCTGACGAAGGCAGAACAGGAACAGTTCAATTAATACACAAAAAAGCAGGAGTGAGTCATATTAAAATTACAAGGTCAGGTCAGCCAATCTGCAAAACAAAGCATAGAAAGGACATAATACAGCCTGTCCCTTAGCACAATACAGATGAATAGCTGATTTAGATGAACATCCTACAGCTTTAAGAAAATCAACCTGTGTTCTGAAAAGATGTGCTAATAAAACAGGAAGCTGTTCCATGCTAGCAAGCTGTTTAAATGTGAAACTTTAATCCTAATCACTGCATCCCTTTAGAAAGAGTTTAAAACCATCACATATTTTACAGAAATTCATTTGAAATCTTACCGTTGTGTTACGAGGCACATTTAGGGTGGAGGAATGTTCTGGACACACACTGGAAGTTGTATTTTTTGTTAAACTTGTGTTGGGTTCTACCATGTCTACCAGAGCAACGCTTAGATTCACACGTAACGCATAGAGAAGGAAGAATCCAAAGAAGGCCAATATTGCTAAATTGTAGCGAGCTGAGCAACATGCAGGCACTGAAATAAGATTTTAAAAAAAGTTAGCAACTTTTATTTTTTAAAGTATTTTTAGTCGGTACAAATTCAGAAAAAAAACAAACAAGTTAACTTTTTTTATTCTGTAAAAGTATATTTTAGCTCAATCTTTTTGACAGGCATGCCACAAATTAGCTCTGTACACTCCCCAAGGGCCACTCTGATCCCCTTCCTCTGCCTGATCTGCTACTCTGATGTTCGCTCCCTACTCTATCTACCACTATGCTACCTGTCCCCCCCCAGTCTGCTGCATGCCCCACACAGGGCCTGCTCATGTCATAGGTTGGCTACTTCTGTTTTAGCAATTTTATTTACCAGGTGGAGGTTGAGGTCAAGAAGACAATTTATCTAGTCACTTTCTCACTTAAAGTAACTACCATTCATAAATAGGAGTTGTGTGTTCCAAGTCCCCATGGAAAGGGCCAAACTCAAATGAGAAATATAGTGCATGTTTTTTAGAAAAAAATATTCAGCAACAGAATTTCAAAAGACCTCTTGAAGCCATTGAAACATGACTATTCAGAATTAAAACTTCATAAGGCACATGGAAAGTATGAAATAACTTATGAAAATGTTTGTGATTTTAAATTATTCGTAAATTCATGCTATAAACTAGACATTGTGGGGTTCCCAAGATTTTTAACTGTATCAAACTGAGCCTCATATCTTTAAGACACTTTGGGCTCTGGCTTGCAAGTCATCAGCAGTATGGAATTTGTAGATGGAACATAAGTTTGTAGTTCTATTGATGATAAATATACCAGTCAGGAAAGTACAGGACTGTCATGAATGAAGAACAGCATAAACCAGGGGTGTCAAACACATGGCCCGTGGGCCGGATCTGGTCTGTGGAACTGTTCTGTCTGGCCAGCTGAGTCAGCTGGTTACCGGAAGCTGGGGGGTATGGCCAGTGGAACATGACATTCTGCAAATTTCAGGATCCCTGGACCCAGATGGACACTGCTATTGGTGGCAGGAGGGTGAGTGAGGGCTGTGCAGATACAGTACTTGCTTGCCCCAATGCTGCCCGATTCCCCTCTCATCCCCCTGCGGTATGATCCCTGACCCTTGCCACTGCCCACTGGACGCCCACTGCCAGCCCTGGACTTGGACCCACTGCAGCTGCTGCTGGCTCCACAGATCTGGCCTGGGAGGAGCTCCCATTGTTCAAATCTGGCCCAAGGTGAGTTTGACACCCCTGTATGAACTGTTTTTATGCATCAATAAATGGAGCAGATCTGACCCCTGGAGCAGATTCAACTTTTTGTTCACAGCTGGGAAAACCCCCCCAGCTAGCGATACTGAAGGAACTGGCAGAGGAGATGTCAGGGCCCTTGGCAATTCATTAAGTTGTAGGAGATGGGCGAGGTGGAGGATGGGAAAATGACCAACAGTATCCCCTTTCAAACAGGTAAAAAGGAGGACCCAGAGAACTACAGACCAATTAGCTTCATCTCAATGCCCAGGAAGCTACTGAAGCATACCCTAAGTAAGTCCATATGCAAGCATCTGGAGGAGAAAAAGCTGACCACAAGCAGCCAGCATGGATTTACTAAGAACAAATTGTGTCAAACAAACTTGAAGGGCTTCTTTGACAAAGTAACTACCTTGGGTTGATAAGGGGAATGCATCTGGACTTCAGCAAGGCCCACATGACCTTTTAATAAACACATTGGAGAAATGTGGGCTAGACAAAACCACCGTAAGGTGGAAAGACAACTGGTTCAATGGCTTTTAAAAAGCAAAAGTATACATGCCTGCCATAACCATGGTCAGTAGACCAGAATTGTCATGTGGAGGGAAGAGGGAGAGGGAGGAACCGTAAAACATAAAAAAAACTCAAACAAACCAACAAACCATTGGTGGCTACATTTTCGAAACACCATATGGAGACATAACAGTAACTGCTAACTGTGGGAAAAAGGAACATCAAACCTGCTTACTCAAAAGCCATAATTATGGTAGCAAATGACTCAAATTCTAAAGTGGATGAGATACAAGGAGACGGCTCTTCAGATATTCCATAGTATGTGACTCTGTGGATGCAGGTGAGCCATGTCTGGCACAGACCACACACATTAAAGAAGTCTGAATAAGACAGTAACAGGGAAATACTGCTCCTCTGTGAAAGGAGATGAACAGTTGCCTGACAGTTAAAGACAGACATTTAAGGCAATTCAAAAGCTATGAAAATTATGCTGAATTTGCAAAAGAATGTTGGAGAGGTAGGTTTCTATTGTTAAAGAAATGCTGACGCTAAAGGAATTTTTTACAAGCAGGTCATGTAAAAAAAGAAGGGCCAGCCTGGCAATCACTCCAAGATACTATACAAGCATATGCAACACACTCTCTCTCTCTCTCACATGACCCCTGACCCCCCCCCCCCCCCCCCCCCCCCCCCAAAGGTCCCTCTTCTAGAGAAATCTTGTTTTTAATAGTATTTCAAGGAGTCACATATCATTTTAAACTGAGATCAAGTAGCACTGCTAGGATTTACTGGGTATTTACTTTTTGGAACAAAAATACCTTAAACAATGTGCCACTAAAAGCAGAAGTGTTACTGTACAAAACTTGCGGAGCAACTTTATGATGCAGCTAGTTGCGCTGGAGGCAGTGGATCCTTAACGACAACAGATCACAAATTTCCAAAGAACAAGTACAATTATGATTAAATCTGCTTAATAACTGTAATGAATCTGTACTCACTGAGAAAAAGCAGTCCCCAGTAGTGGAAGCTTAAATATCATACCTATATGATTTAAAACCCCATTAGAAATGCAGGTTATTGGAACATTTCTGACTCTTCACTTGGAAATTGTGTCTGAAAAATGAATATGTTTTACAACAATCTGTAAAATTTAAATGATGGAAATTAATAAATGCCACTGCTCCAGATATTATTTTTTGGAAGAAAACTGTTTTCCACATAATCTTCTGATCAGCCAGTCAAAGCACAGAAAGGTGGAGACTTACCAAAAACATACTTCACTCATCTCACTTTTTAAAATGGTTCCCATCAGCAAAGGACACATATACTAATAAAGAAACACGTCACATGTATAAAAAAAAAAAAAGGTCCACTTCAGGGTCCAATGCAACCAAATGTGAGATTCAATTCCTTACCTTGAACACAGCTCTCAGTTCCTATTCCCAAGGCTGCTTTCAAAGACATGGTTTATACTCTTTCAGTTACTGTTAATTTTTACATGTGAAGCCTATCCTAGAAGTTCTGCAGTTTAAGGAAGCTGCCCTCCTATTTTATTTAATCTTGTGGGCGAGGTAAACTACTCCAAGTAGAGCATGACCTATTGTGCAAGCTTAAAAATTTATGCTTACTAACTGACAACAGGCAGGAATGGCTTAAATTGTACCCATTTCAGTCTTTTGTCTCCAGCATATATTTGTGATTATCCATAATATCTGTCATTACTGAAGTTATCCAGTCCATAAATAGACTTTTTTGCTACATAAGCCATAACCTTAAAATCTTATTTTTCTAGCTACAATTTGTGTTCAGGAATCATGTAGTCAAGACTTATACTCCTTTTAGTATCATCAGTAATTCCTAAAATAGAGGGCAGGGCAGGGCAGGGCAGGGCAGGGCACACCTTAAAGACATAACTTTTTCAGAGATGCATAAGCTTTCCTAGACAATAGCCTGCTTAGTCCTAAGACAATACTTGTCTTTTTCTCCTATATGTAACCCTCACCTCTTCTTCCACGCTCTTTGCCCCCTATATCTGTAACAGCTACTTATTTGCCTTCAAATTCCTTCTGTAGGCTTGTTCCTTCCACAAAGCCAAAAAGATGACAAACACATTTGTCTCCGCTGACAAACGCACACAATACTACAGACCAGTGGTGTTCAGCCTTTTTCCCTGGCCAGCCAGGAGGACAGTGCCTGGCCCAACTGCTGGCTGGCTGGTGGTTCCAATCCAGCCCCTGGGGCCGGTGCAGCAGCCACCATTTGGCCCCATGGGGAGGGGATGGGGGAGCTTCACTTGGCCCTGTGGGGTGCAGGTAGAAGGGACCTTGACCTAGCCATGCAGGGGGAGGGGAGGAAAGGGGGTGTGGCTTGGGCCCAACCTGGCCCCTAAGGGAAAGGGGAGCATGGCTCAGCCTCCTGGGGAGCGGGGAGCAGTGTGGTCTGGCCCCAGCCTGGCTCTGCAGGGGGAAGCAGATGTGACCTGGCTCAGCATTGAGAATATGGTAAGGGGGAGGTTGGCTGTATTAATGGCCACTGCTCCCCCCACCATCAAATTTCTGGACTTATTTAGAGCCCAGCAGGCTGGAGGTTGAGCACCCTGCTTTAGACCAGTGGTGCCTAACCTTCTTGCTCAATGGGCCAGATAGGCAGTGCCAGGTACATCTGCATGCCAGACCCGGTAAGCGGGCTTGATCTGGCACATGGTGGGGGCATGGCAGGGGCCCAAGGTAGCAACAGAGGGATGCACAGCCCAACCCTAATCCATCTGCTGCAATGAGGAGGGACAAAATGCAACCTGGCCCCAATCCAGATGCACCGGAGGTAGGGGAGCAGCCCAACCTCAATCCGGACATGCAGGGAGGTGGGCAGGATGGAGTGGCCCCGATCGGAAGGTGTGCGAAGCTGGAGCATCCCAGCCCTGATCCAGATGTGTGGGGTAAGGGAGGGATGGGGAGCAGCCTGGCCTGATCCAGATGGGCAGGAAGCAGACCCAGCCTTGATCCCACTGCATGGAGACAGCCTGGGCAAGGTTGGATCCTACCTCATGCAGCTTCCACCGCTCCCCCACTGTCAAATTTTCCAAGCCAGGGGGGTTCCCTGTGGGCCAGATGGCACAATTCTGCAGGCTGCATTTGGGTTATAGACCAGAGGCTGAGCACCCCTGTTTTAGCCCTACCAACAAATGACACAGAAAAAATAGAGAGTATTCCCCGTCACAGCCACTTCTCCCCAAGCCCATGCACTTGCTCCCTAAGAAGCCTGCATGCAAAGCAACGGTCCACAACCTTTTTTAGACTCAGGCGCCCCTTGTTAGCCTCCAGGCAACAAATACCAGCTCTTTGGTTTCCTGGACTGCGGAAAAGCACAGCAGCGAGCCTCCCGCAGCGCGGCATGGACAGACCCCGGCGCCGCAGAGCCTTCCGACCCTGCCCTCACAGGCATCCCGCAACCCACCCCTCAGGAGCGCAATAAATGTCGCCTGGCCGCACGGGCAAGGCAGTCGTCCCGCCCTAAAAGCCAAGCAGCCCCCAAGTTAGTGCTTGGACACGTAACTGCAGAGCTGGTTTGTAGCCGGCTTGAACGTGACCGTGTGGTGGGGCTGAGACCAGAGGGCAGCACCACCGCGTGCTCCATGGCAACGCCGCCCCCCTCCCGGGCGGCACGGGGCCCTGCAGCCGCGGGAGGGGAGCGCTGAGCCGGACCCACCACCCCCTCCTCACCCGCGTCGGGCTGGGTCTCGTTCAGCAGCGGAGTGCGGTCCGCGCCTTCCTCGGACTCCAGGTAGTCGTCGCCGCCGCCAGTGACCGGGGTGCGCATGGCGCCCAGGCTGAGCCCACCCGTCGCCACCGCGAAGTGGACCCGCGTGGCGGCCCGGGGGCCGCGGCCCCGCCCCAGCCCCCC